GAACGACCCAGGGTTGGTTAATGACGTCATTGCAACCTCTCCACCAATGAAAGACTTGCATTTATAGTAAAATAGTGATTGATCAACCCTGGGTCGTTCAAATCCTGTATAATCGAAAACGCGACTTAGACGAAATGCATTACCTAGTGTATAATAACAACAGCATACGTATAACGATAACCAATCAGATTCAGGCACAGTATCATGGCGGACCCCCCCGCATTTTGGCTTCACTCCCCTCGTCTATCAACCAAGTTTACGCTCCGTCCCTATATTCCTATGTCCATGGGCTGTACTAGTTCAGAGTTTATCTTTTTCCCTCCACAATGGAAGGAGAAAGATAAACTCTGAACTAGTGCAGCCAGTTCAGCTATAAAAAACAGACCTCTTGTGTGACATGCCTTAACTATGACATCTTGATCACAGATTTTTTGATAGAATACAATGGTCGTGAAATCACCTTATATTCTTAAGGCCATCATACACAAAATGACATAACTGCATATGCATAGCATAAGACCGTCTCGACCAATGAACATCTAGCATAAAGGCGCCATATTGATTTACACAGCATGCTCATTGGTCGAGACGGTCTTATGCTATGCATATGCAGTTATGTCATTTTGTGTGTGATGGCCTTAAGTATATGCATAAGAAAATGAACCAATCCACTGTGCTATGCTAATGCATCTATACAAGTTTGCTGGATATACCCTAAGCGTGAGCTGGTCAAAGCGAACGCACCCTAAATAATCTATGTGAAACAGTCGGTGAAAAATGCCAGAATGGCTGAGGCGGATGATAGTTTGAAGTTAAACAAATTCAACTTTGAAACACTGAAAAGCGTGCGTTGCAAAAACGGCAAAACGATATCGTTGAGCACTAAGCATGTTCTGCGAAAGAAACAACTCTTGGAATTGAGGAAAAACGGCAGAGATATTTATGTTAATAATAAAACTTCTTTCAAGGTAGTTTGCTTCTGAACACCATAACCTTTTGTACTTTAAATTTAAATTTAATTTAATAAACATATATTGATTTCGAAATTTTCTTACTGCATTATATCTAATTAAATATTTTTAAGGGACAATTGTACAAATGTGAAAAAGTGTTTGATAAAGGCGAATCAGAGTTGATCATTCATGGTCTTGGGGCTGCTGTCTATAAAGCAAGCCAACTAGCTCTGCAGTTGAAAGAGATTCATTATGGAACTTTAGACCTTGATATTAAAACTTGTACTGTGACTTTAGCAGGTACATACTTTTTATACTTTCTATACTTAATATAGATTAATGCAAAATTGTAGTTAGAATTGTAGATAGTTTTAGTTTATATTTTACATTATGTTTATTCTTTCTATATAATTAATTACATTTATTTGATATTAATCAAGCAATTATATTTATTTATAGATAAATTGGAGACGCTGAGTGATGAGACGGATGATGAAATAATCAACAGGCAAAGCTCTGCCATACACATACGTGTCTTCAGAAAAGTGCCATTGGCTGTGTTGAGATCTAAAGAGAGACAAACTGATAACAATTCTGTGAAGTAACATTTTTGATTGATGAAACTGCACTATACAGTTGAATGAATAGAATTATTCATTCAACTATACAGCTGAATGGATAGAATTATTATTTAATTTGCGATAATATAATACAGCTGATACAAAACTGTATTATTTTTACCATGATCTTTTCTTTGAACGAATTAGTTCATTGGTTAGGTTTGACAATCTTTGAAATATGGATCAATTTAATCGCCTTAACATTCTTTACTGTGTTGCTAGCTTTAAAATTAGATGAAAATTATTTTTTGGATGCATCAGGATGGTGGGAAGTGTTTTCACCGCTTTTCATAGCTGATGGTTTAAACACATATTTTTGTGCTATTATATTAATAAGGATGCATATGGAAGGAATGATTAAATCAGGTATCTTACGAGCAATATGGAGTTTAATGTCATTACTCTTGGTTTTTGTCTTTAAATATCTCTTATGCAAAAAACTTTCTGGACAAAGCACATTGGAATACTCGGAAGTTTTGAGCCCTGTATTCATTCTGCTACAATTGATCGCAGTAAGAGCCTGTCAGCTACATTAAAGAAAGTAAACATTTTGTTAGATTGATTATTTAGATTAAATTATTTGAAATATGTTTCATCTTTAAATATTACTTAATGTTTCTATCCTTTCTATTTAATATTATGGATATCCGTATTATTAATATTATGTAAATATTATTGATTTATTTCTGAATATAAGAATATATATGCTACGTCAGATACATACATTTAAGAAACGTCTTTTCAAGATATTTTTAAGAAGACAATAAATGTGGATGATGCAAGAATGTTAATTGAAGTAATATAACAATGTATTAAGACATTATTTATTCTATAAATATTTTAAATGTGTATATCAATTCTTTATATTTATATTGCTATATTATTAATTTATATAAATTTACATATTTATTAATAGAAAACGTTATTTCATAATATATCGGCTTGAGTTTCGATATAGCTAATAAGTATTGATTTCTTTTGTGAATAAATAAATTCTTTAATAACGAAGAAAATATGATATTAACTATTATAAAAACAAGATGGTTTAATTTAGAATCTATGCTGTTGCTATTTTTATGAATAATTCATTATTTCAAACGTAAAAGAGAGTCAATTCGTAATCGTGTAATCGTGTTTGTGAAAGATTTGAAGTATTTAAAGATAAACTATTTTTAACCATCTTGCTTTCCCAAATATATTCTTTGTGTATGGCATTTGTAGTGAGCATCCCTCAGAAAATGTTGATAGAAACTAAGGTGAAAGTTTCTTTTTACAAAAATAACAGGCCTATGAATCATAACGTAACATAAACCGATAAATTTAACACTGCTCCATTTAAACTCTAAAGATAAACAACCGACCAACACAGACCAGGTGCTTTGTGTGGGCATGTGTGCCCCCTCCAACCCTCTTCAACTAAGATCAATAATCCCAACTAAGGGAGACAGCGGCTGTATTCAGTAAGAAAGGGTACGTGAATCGAATTATTCTATAGGTAAAGCGCCTGTTGCTGCTTACCACAAGTTCGCGGAACGCGCTGCATTAAACGACACATCAACTGTCTATCATAAGACTGATTACTAATTACAAGCTTCAGTGATGTGCTTTGGACACACCGAGAGATTATGGATAAGCTGGTCAATTGGACTCGTGGTCAGTTTTTTATTCTTTTTATTATTGCTCATATAAGACGCGGGTAGCAAGTGCTATTTTTCTATGCGAAATATGCGATTAGAGTTTCTACGGAGAAATGCAAAATTAAATATTTTTATGTATGTTTCTTGTTGAAACACTTGGCAAAGTGCACTTGAAACCTATAAACTATGTAAAATGACGCGATGACGTGATATAGTTACTTTTTACATTATTTGTAAACTCTCCTACAAGCGCTTTTTCTGGTATGATACATATGCACATGTCATTTAATCTTTTACTGTTATTAGGTGTAAACACAACAACTGTAGCACCCGTCGTGGGACAAAATTGCGTATCAAATTCGTCAACCTCTGTGATCCTAGACAAATCGTTAGTCACTGCACCGTCGTGGAGTTCGGTACAGCAAGATTTGAAATGGATATTCCTACTTCACACATACGGCTATGCATGCCTCTTCTTTGTACTTGGATTTTATACCTTCTTCTCTATTCTAAATTTAAGGTATAATGAGTATATTGTAAATGTCGATATTAAAATAGGAAAAGTTTATGTCTTTGTACTTGTGATAATTTATTTTTTTCATCTTTTCAGGTCTCTCATATCAAGCCGGCCGTTCATGTCCACAATTAATATATTCTTGTGTCTACTGGGAGCATCAAGAGCTGCTTGCTTGTTCATAGACCCGTACAACCTTAAGGAGATAATGCCCAAAGTGATTGGATCAATTATATGGGACGTTGGTTATCCCTGTATTACATCTGCCTTTTGTTTGATACAATTGGCCTTTTTGCAGCTGACAAAGGTACTTATTTATTGTTATGCACTAAAATGTGTGATATATGTAATCACGTAAACTTGCTTTATACATTGTTGTAAACTCGCTATGGTCAATTTTCAGTTAAAATTTGGCCCGGAGAAAATACAAAAGGAATCTTGCCTCAGTCTCATTATAACAGCACACTTCTTCTTCATTATCGCCAGCGACATCACTCTGTCATCTCATAATTGCTACATGATAAAATATGTCGTTCAAGCGGCATTTCTCGTCTGGAGTATCTTTTTGTACCTCGCGTTTCTACACGCGGCTTACAAAGTTGATCATTTGCTGCGAACTATGCCGAGTAGCATGTTGACACGAGACAATTCCAACGCACATCAAAAAGGTCTGTTCTAACTCTCTGAACGTACGGGCACAAGTAAAGTATATTGCAGCTCCGTTAATATGAATGTTATACATACATATTTTATATTTTTACGCATAATTCTGTAATAATTCGGAAAGATGCATGACAATTGTTTTACGATAATGATGAAGCAAAAATCCTAATGTGATTTGGTCGCGAATAAGAATTTGAATTATTTTTATACCAATGATTTTCCGAGTATATTATAAAGTATACATGCTATGTATACATACTATGTTGTTTTCTGCTTTCCGCGCGATTATTTTCAAAATTACTTACAATTTAGGTATTATGCAACTTGCGATGCTGGCACCGTACAGCAACCTGGCAACTTCAGTTGCCGCTACTTTGGTACCTACTTTACTCGGCGCTAAAATAAGGGGTACGGAAGAAAACGAACTTGCAAATACGAGGAAAAGTGCGGAAGAGGTACATGTGGAAGAAGGTGATGTATACGAATATTATTTTAATCTTTGAATCGAATATGATCGAAGATAATTCATTTCAAGTGAGTTACATCGAGCGTAAAGTATTTTTATCAAAATTTGAATAATAATTTTACATGTATAAATGATATTAAGTAATAATAGGAAATAAATTTAAAGACATAATTTGATTGAGATCTGTTTTCAGAGTCGAAAGTCACAATTACCAAAGTCAAAGTGTGCAAGGTGGAAGAACCGATGCAGAAGGAAATACTTAATGTCACGATACCTACGTGCACCGTACAATCATCGTTGCAAGAACAAAAATCATCGTCAGCGGTACCACAAGTTTACGTTAGGCCACCGACTCCTACTCCGTCGACCACTAATCTGCCGATTATAACCGTATCCAGCCCGAGTCGTAGGAGCTCCGTTGCCAGCCGACGAGGTAGTGACACGTCCACCAAATCTTCGCGTAGAAATTCAGAGTGTAGCGTTAGGTTTATAAACGAGGAAGACGCGATGACGGAATACAGACGCACAACGGAAGGCAGCCCTAGACATTCGCCGAGAGTGCGAGATGAGTTTGAGAGAAGCCGCTCGCCTGACAACATATCCCGACGATACTCGGAGAACATCACGCCAACCGGCAGTGCCAGAGAACTAAGACGGTGCTCCGATTTCACCCACGAGAAAAACCGCGGCTCGCAGTTTGCAATTAAGCTGAGGAGGAACAGTGATTTCGGTAACAGAACGCCCAGAAGAATGCTACCACCTGACGAACAATCTAGATTGCCCAAGGTTTTGGATTTAAGCCCCGCGGGTAAATATCGCCGCGGATATAATCATCTTTTTGAAGATTATACTACTAATTTACACGAAATAAACACTGTTTATTCACGTTTTTCAGGATCAAGACGCAATTCTGATATCGGTGCTTTTGTAACCAGACCCGACTCGCGTAGAAACTCTGAGAGCACCTGCAGACGTAATTCCGAGTTTGTTCATATTAAACCGTTAATTATAAATCGCCGAAGTAGCGACATCAGCATCAGAACTTTGGATAGGAGTCCTACACACTTTCAGAATATATTACCTGGAAAAATAGAGGCGCCAGATAAGTCCGAGTCAGATTCCGATCAACCTGATTGTAGTGAGAAGGTAGCATTAATGAACGACAAGTCAAAGAACAAAGAGGAAGAGACGAAAGTACACAAGAAAAACCTGTCATGGAACGATAAGAACTTGGAAGATCCCGAGGATATTACACCAGAGACTAATTTGCTTCCCGAAAATACATCTAATGAAACAAGAGTTATGGTATAATTCTTTACTTGTAATTAAGTTTACAGAGTGCAAAAAGAAACATCTAGAACATGTTATATATTCTTATGACACTTGGACATTTTTTAGATGTCTTGTGTTACTTAAGCAGCACTTTATACGGATTTATTTTATCTATTAAATATATGCATACTGATTACACAGGGTACGGATTTTACTCTTCACTCGATACTGAATCACATTGCATATGTGAATCGAGCGAAATCCGACACGCCGTTGCATATACCGGAAGCGGATACCGCGGCTGCCAGAAAATCTCAAATGCAAAGAGTATTAAACGTTACACGCGCTACTGCGATTCTAGGAATTCTTTTGTGTGTCACGGATGCTTTTCGCATTTTTGGACCATACGGTAATTACAATAGATAACTATAATAGAATAACTAATGAATAAGTGATAAAAATCCAAATATTTTGCTAATATCTTCCAAAAATATATTATATATAACGTGTGTGAAGTTAGCCCAGCATTTTTCGAATTTTATATTTTTCTTAATTGTGCCGAATTGTGTTATGTTTGTGCTGTAAATAAAAATCGACTACGACCTATGGTTCTCTTTGAAAACGGAGAAAAGTTTTTTTATTCATATTTAAGTAAAATTAATATTTTTTTAGGACTGTTTGCTGACACTGTACGATACGGTACAGAACCAATGACGATGCAATATCCAACACCGTGGCCGTGGTTGTGCTATCAAACAATATCCAGGGGATTTGAATTTGTGATGGGTTGTGCCATGGCGAGTGTAACTAAACAGCCATCAGTAAGTCCGCGACATCAGTATTTGAGCAATTATCCTAATTATTCCCCACGCGTAAAGCGGACAAATAATCCTTACATATGAAGCAATAGTCTACTCAGCCGTTGGCGAAATCAAGATGCCAAATAAAAATTTTCTCTTTTTTTTTATCGGATTTTAATACTATTCTTTTGAACGACGACTAATATATTTTCCAATAATTCTAATCACTGATTATTTTTAATAACAGATTTTATAAATGTAAATGTATCATATATATGAATACGATACATTTACATTTGTTGTTTCTTTCAATTCTTGTCAAAATTAGTTTCTTTTTATACGAGAGAAAAGATTAATTTTTTCTAAAAAAATTTAATATTTGTTTTGATACATAATCATAAATTGCTAATAGTTTCCATTGAAAAACATGAAATGTATAAAATGCAAAGGCATCATAACCGATACAGAAATTGATAAAGAAAATGGAGAATTATAAAATATGCTATACATGAAAGCATAACAATAGATCAGTAAAACATTCTAAATAAAAAAAATGCGTGTTTGGACAAAATCTAAAAGCAAGTGCAATAGTTAAGTAGTATTTCTAAAAGCCACTTTTTATGGAAAGTGTTCATTCGAATTACATAAACTCACAAAACTATCAACTATTTTTTTAACTATTAGATTAGTTTGTCGATGCATTAATTTTCTGATTTTTAATGTGTTTTTCTCATAGGAATACATATACATATATATACACGTATTTTCTGCTGTTGAATAAATATATATCATTTCTTAATTGATATCCAACTCAAATATAAAAGAATATTTTTGAAGCAAAACAGAGAGAAAAGAAAAAAAGAAAGAGACTGTATATAAACAAAGACAAGTCAAAATAATCAATGATATTTATAACACGTGGAATAACGCGTTTTTACTCTATGTCAACCGCACCAAGCTTAGAAGTAAAAATACAAACCCAACTCTCAAAGTGCCCTACTATTAAATATTCAAGAAATTATTATTACAATGACTAATACGTAGATGGTTTATCTGCAAATGGAATTTGTAACAGTGTTGTGATCTTACATGTGATATCATATTTATGTGTTTAGAGTAGGAGACCATTTTACGCTTATGTAAGGTTAAATAACACTATATTCCATGAGATACAAGACTGTAAAAGGGAGTTTATGATAAAAACAGAGCTGTATTATAGCTTTATTGCGATTGTGTTCAATTTGTTTTATATGTTTAATGTGTTTAATGTTTTATATAACTAGGATAGCCAATATTGTTTTATTGAAACATTGATGCATCTGTTTATATATTTAAATTTAATTTGAGACACACACACACACACACACGCACACACACACACACACCAGGATGTAAAAAAGGTCCGGAAAAGTCCCAGAATATCTCGAAAAATATAAGTTTTATAAAAAAATGTTTCAAATAAAAGTTGTAAGGTTTAAAAAGATCTATTTACTGATCTTATCAGTTTGACCTTGAGTGGTGTCGCCAAGGTCAGGGCACATTGAATTTTTTAAATGGAACTCCCTATTTTTTATTGCATATTCTTATAACCCTTCTTGAAGCCTTTTCAAAACACTATAATTTTATCCACTTTGGGTCAGCCGTTTCGAAGTTATCGAAGTTTTTACAATAAGATGTCGGTGACTGCAGCTTTACTCAAAATGAAATAAGTGGAGATACCACTATCATATCATACTAATGAATGGAAAAAGGGATGGTAGGTAATGTGTGGGTCCAGTTGGGCCCAATCAGGTTCATGTCGATTTTTTAAAATAGGGACTCCATTTTTTATCGCAAATTGGGCTCTAAGAAGTGTTATAAAAATATGCAATAGAAAATAGGAAATTTCATTTAAAAAATTAAAAATGACCTTGCCCAAACCTTGGCGATGCCACTTAAGGTCAAACTGATAAGATCAGTAAATAGATTTTTTTAAACTCTACAACTCTTATCTAAAACATTTTTTTATAAAACTTATATTTTTCGAGACTTTTCCCAACCTTTTTTATATACCCCGTATATATATAAAAATAAAGAATATGTATTTATTGTTTATATTTTTTTAATTTTCGAGATATTTGTCTGAGGCATTTAAAATGGGACGCGCCATATATATATTTCCTATTTATATCATTATATCATTCTGTTATAATCTCAAACTTGTAGAAAAATCAAGAGTAGAGCAAGTGACAAATCTAGTAGTAATACTTACAGGAGCATAAAAGGTCTCAACAAATATCTGTTTGAAATTTATAATATTACAAAAGTAGCAATTTAAATTGTATCATTGATGTTTCATGTGCCAAATACTCGTGTTAACTATTTTAAATGTTTATAAGAGATACAGAATCTTCTAAAACAAGAATCTTATAACAAAACCATAGACATAAATAAATATTTGTATAAAATTAGATGTACAATAATTAACAAATTGTCATTTTAATCAAATTGTGAACTTGGAAATTATTATATACAGAGTGTTGCGTATAGGTGTCTATCACCTGAAATATTTCTGGTTGTTTTTGACGATACAAAAAAATATCTGAGGAAAAAGGTGCACTGTTTAAGGGGGCAATTACGGTGATGGGGAAAATTTTTTCTTGAAGTTGTTTATTTATACATATATTCACTAATAAAAATCCCACAATATTCCTTATATTCCAGTAATCCGGCAAATCCATTAATTTGGCACTACCTCGTTTGTAATAGTGTCGGATTAATGAGTTTCTACTGTATATATAAACAGATTTAAGATACACTATTAAAATTTTCAATAGAGACTCTCTTTTCTCTATTGCATCTGAAATACAAGTAAATCATTTCTTAACTGATGACTGACAATTAAATATAGTTATCTATAATAAAGTTGTGAATTATGATGAATATTATATACATACAATCAAGATTGATTGATAAATGAACTGCAAATGATGTCTGAAATTCTTGAAAAAATTTTTGAAACACCTCGCCCAAAGATAAAAAAGCTATATCAGTATACATCATATGGCACCAACATAGCACTGATTTTACTCTTAGCAATATAACTTTGACCAAACAAACATAACATTATATAGGATAAGAGTTTCTTTATTTTGTTGATTAATTTTTGAATACTTTATATAGCTATATTCCGTATGTAAAATAGAAATTGTCCTGTAGTAACATAGCCAAAAGTAATATTAAAAAATCCGTTATTGTTTTTATTGTTAGTATTGTTTTATTGTACTAGTCAAAATATTATACCATATTATTATATTTAAGAGATATTAATACAACCATTAACTATGTAAAAGGTTTATTGGAAAAAAAAACAGAATTTTGTGTAGAAATAAAGACAAAGAAAAGAAGTGTATACCTTTTCTCCAGTTTATTAATTCTTTAATTCAACAGATGTATGCCTCGTATGAATATCAACATATGTTTAGAGGTGTAGTATACGAGTATATAGTAAAGTCAAAAATGCTTTATGTGTAAATATATTGTAATAGATATATTTTTGAAGTTTTAAAATACTTTTTTTCTTTACAAAAATATTACCATTAATATCAAGCTATATAAATTTGTTGAAAAAAATATTATGAATTAAAACGTCTTCTATGTGTGTGTGCTATAAAAATATAAGAATGGAATCTATTAAAAATTTATAGCAAAAAATTTTCTTGATTTTAATGACCCAATTTTATAAGCATTCAGTTATACATATCTTTCATGGTTATATAATCATAGACGCATAAGCCTTGTTTATACAGCATGAACGTCATTATACAGTTTTGATTCACACATTAGTGACTATTTATTAATTTATTCTCGATAATCGAAGTAATCGATTTCTTTGTCAGAAGATCTTGCAGTTGATGACGATATCGATTGTTGACTTTGTTTCACAGGTAACGAAAGAACAGTCCTGTAATATAATAATTTTATTATGTGAGTCGGAGAGTTTTCTAATTATCATCATAAAAAAAAACTTATTACGTCATTTTGTGGTTTCTTAGCAATTGCGAAAAATATCTTACTTTGTAGAATTTTTTTCCTTAGAAGTGTTAAGTACCGGTCCTGGTACCTTTCTTTGTCCTTTCTCCCTCTGCACCATTTCTAGTAAACTGTAACTGGGTAACCAACACTGTAACAAGACGTATTCTTTATAAAGATGACCATATAATTAAATCGCACTACATATCATTGAAGAGATCTAACCTTCTCTTTCACAGCTGTGGCAACGACGTTTCTCTTTGGTTCCTCGTCGTATGCTTGACTTTCGCAACCAAAGTGTTCGCATGATTCGTGTACGAAATGACGCTTTTCTCTATTCATGACTTCGAAGGAATAGCTTCGAGACCTCTGCTTAGACATTTTTGCTAACTGCACTAATTCTGTCAGTTTTTCATGAACCATTTGACAAAATTGTGGATCCTTTTTGGCCCACTGTTTCATGTAATCGCTGTACCTGGGCATCAACTTACCACTCAAGTCAGGATTAACGATTTGCAATCCCAATGCAAGTTTTCTGTTTCTCTCGATTATCTTACACTCATCATTGCACTCCAAGGTTTTCAGCTGATTTTGTTTTTTTGCACCTTGCCCGAATACTTCCTCCAAATCGACGGAATGACCGAGTTGCATATCAGCCATCTTACTGGCTAGTATGTTGCTCGCTATTCTTTGATACTCCCGAGCGTTATCGGCGCAGACACGACTCATACTTCTGTGTCCGCATTGGCATGTAACCTGTAATACAGCAGCAAAATGTTTACAACGTGATTCTCAAGTTTCTAAAATTTTATAACGCGTTGCCAATAAGACAAAATCTCTATTTATACACACAGATACACACAAATACAGATTCCTCTTACCTTAACCATCTCTTTGCAAGGTGTATCTGGACACTTGCCTTCATGACACGAAGCGCCACAAATATGCCCGCACATCTCCCTCATTATCGTGCAAGGTTGTATGCATTGTTGTCCAGGTTTTTCGCAGAGTCCTGCGTGACACATCGCGATGCATTTATGCCGTTCGCATATCAGCGGTTTGTTACACGGCAGACCGCACGAGATCTCTTTCACGTGACATGGTACGGCCTTTCTAAGCTCATGTTTACCGTGACACCATCTTTGTGTCAACACGCTGCAAGGTGGACATGTAGACTCGCTGTGACAGTTGTGTAGTATCTCGTGATCGCACGAATGCTGGCGCGAACACGGTCGATTGCAAGTGGGCCTTCTTGTGCCACATGGCACCGGTGGATAAATTACCTCTGCGCCGCATTCGCAGTATAATTCGTCAAAGCTGCTCTGCCAACAAGGCAAACATCTTCCTATCGAAGAAGAAAAAAGCTCCAAGTATGATACCCAAGTATGATTATAAACAAAGATGTACTTACCCATATGACATCTGTCCTGACACTTGTGTCGACCACAGCTCAGGGTCTTGGAACATGGTAATGGGCAAATGTGCTCAATATCGATGCAACACAGCTGATTGCAATTATGCTTACCGCAAGATCTTTTTTTCTTGCAGCGCTTCTCGCAACGCGCGTCATCGGCCTTACTCTTCAAGTCCTTGCAAGTAATCTCGCGATCCATGTTGCCGCATCGACACTTGACATCGGTACTTAAATCACAAGCCGGACATTCTCCTGCATGGCATGGCGCTTTACAAATATGCGGATTACCTGCGTAAAAAGACAGGTGCTTATTCATTTTTTGTAACCGTAAACAAGCTTGTAAATAAAAATCAAATTTTTTACATGAGACAAAATATCAATAATTACATATATTCCTTTTATAAAATATTTAAGTAAAAAAAGGAATAAAACAATAGATATTTACTAGGCTGGCCGCATTTTAGGCGCTTTGAGCAGATCTTATCACAGATCGGCACGGGATCCAAACAACTTTCTCTCTTTTCGGCTAACGGTGTTTGACCGCAACAGCACATCGTAACTCTCTCTGGCGTTAAGAAACAAGGCTCGCAAGGCTCTAGATGACAGATTTTCTGACAATAATGCTTGCCGCAGTCCAATATTTTGTTACAGACATTGTTACAAGAATACATTTTTGAGACATTAGCTCGACAAAGTACCTCCCGAGTGTTCTCACCGCAGAAACAGGCTAAACAAAATGAAACCAAACTTTTACAATGTCATCATAATTAGTAGTTTAGAACTTGTAGTTTAGAAAATCTCTTAATTAATCCCTAAATAAAAATATATTACTTTGTTGCATAGTCTTGTCGCAAGATCCGCATTCTCCTTGATGGCACTTTCTCTGACAAGTGTGCTTGCCACATGGCAAATCCTTTCCACATATTGATTCGCACAACAATTGGTCAGCACTGCATAATAGCATCCTCGAAGTTTTTCCACAGCCGCAGTACTTGGTCACCATCGCTGCGCATTGCGGACAAGAGCCAGGGTGGCAGAGCAAAGTACATTTGTGCGTGCAATTATTCTTGGACAAATTCCGAGCGCAAATTTCGCCGCATGAATGCGGGACATCCCTACGATTCCATTCTGGCATCTTTTTCTTTCCGCAGAAACAGAAGTAATCTTCTGGTACGAGAAAACTGATAGCTCGGCAAGCCGGACATTTCCAACTGTTATCTAAATGGAAATAAATAAAAAAGGATTAGTAAATAGTGAAATTTAATTAATTAAATAAATTCCTTCTGATTTGACAAAATAACTAGATCAATGTAATGTACCATTTTGTGATGATTTTGCCCATCTTTTGATGCATTTCAAGTGTAATACATAATAACAATTAGTACAAGACCAAACGTGTTCGCTTTGCCTGATATGCTCGTAACAAACTAAACATTCCAATGTTCCTCTATTCAACTGCTCGGTTAATCTTTCTCTTTGACTGGCATCGTTATCTGTCAAACATATATAAAACACAATCTTTTGACACATAATCTATATTGAAAATAATGTTAATAAAAATTTGTTTTTATAAATTGTAGAAGCATACCAAATTCTGCTTTCTTTTTCAAACGTTTCTCTTGTACATATGCTTTGGTATTATCTATTTTATCTCTCCAATTTTCCAATCTTTTCTCCTTGTGATTTGTTGCTTCATTATTTCTTTTTTGCATATACCTCATTGTTTTATATTTGGCACCAGGTTCGGATTGTACATCACCCGAATTAAATTTATGATGACTAGTGAATCGATTAAATTTATTGCTGTTTCGCTGTGTATCATTCGTCGAAAGCACATTCTGTGAATTTTCTTCACGTGTTTTCTCCTCTCTTCTTGTGCCAACTGTTGCGCTCAAGTCATCCTTTTCAATCTCAAGATTATTAGATTTTGATGAAGGAGAAGGTTCATTTGTAGACAGAAAATTTTTTCCAAAAGCATGTTCTTCTGCAGAAGATACATTTGATTGATGTTTTCTATTGTAATATTTGCCGTTTTGAAATTTATTATTTCTTGCATTATACATTTTATGAGTATCTCTGTAGCTAAAGCTGGATGACACTTGTGCGTTTTGCGAGTTTTTCTGCTTATAATTCACACCTTTTCTGTTATCATAGTGCCTTTCATTCCTATATCTATTGTTCGGCAAAGATGTATTCATAAATGATTTTGATCTGAAACTTTCCACATCAGCATTACAGCTATTTCTTTCCATTGCACCATTTTGATCATTCTTTTTATTGAACCTATCCTTTTTACATTTAACATTGTTTGGCACAAACTCACTAGCTGTAGGATGCAAATTTGAATTTTGTACTACAATGGAGTGAGTGCTATTGCTTTTTGATGATTGCAAATGCTTACCAGTCGCCCTGTTAGTCTTGTACCTCGACTTGTAATTGTAGTGAAAAAAAGGCGGCATGTTATGCGAAATATTACTAATGGAATCTTGCAAACCATTTGGTACTTGGACATTGTCCATGAGCGTGGTATTTGGCAGCATTTGTTCCTGATAAGTATTCTCCAAAGGCAACATATTTGATGTCATTGGCAATTGCTGAGTGCCGACCTGATGTAAAACAGCAGCAGATCTGTTTTGCTCGTAAATGTGTTGTCCACTAGTTCCTGAATAGTAGTTTTCTACGGAAACTTCTTGCGGATGCGTGACGTTCCTACCAAGGTATGGCCAATTTCTTCCAACGACATTGGGTGCGTTTTGATCGGAGTACGCAAAGTAATTCGGATCTTCCGAATACGAACCATCCCAAGTAGCCATTGCGGTTGCACAGTAATGCGAAACTTTACGTAATGGAAAAATAATGTGAAAATCTGCTTCGTAATCAATACTGATAAACGCGCGATATTCTTATCGTCGAGGTTGTATTTCGCTCAAAAAGTAGGACAATTAGTTGGCAAAGCTACTTCAAATTACAATATGGTCACGTCGAAAGTTACTTTCTATGCACTAGCTGCCACTAGAGAGGTTTGTTCTTTATTGCCACAGATGTCTATACTAGTACTAGATCGCTAACTTTAGGCTTTGACGTATGGAAAAACTGAGGCTGGCAGGATTTCCGGTTTCGGCCATGACACCCTACAACAAAATGGCCGCTCCCGCTATTGCATGAAATGTACTAAAATATTTTTATTTTGTATTTTTTTTCATTTTCAATAAAATAACATTTTTTAATTCTAATATTTAAAAAAATATTTATAACATTTATAAAATAATAAAACGTATGCTATGGACGCATAAAATAATAATAAAACATTAATATTATAGTAAAAAATACATTTTATTAAAAGAATTGCAAAAAACATTACTATATTTATTAAAGTATAATTTATGTAATATTATTAAAAAGTATTAATTTTGATAAGTTTTCGCATGTTCATTTTGATGGTATCAGTAGCACTTGTACTCGGCGATGGAATTGAAAATGTTGAATTTTCTTCTCTTGGTTTCAATATACTTATTTTCCATGCAGTTGCTGGCATCACAGCAGATGCAGAAGCAGGAGTAGTATCAAACTTAATTGAAGAAGTCTCAATTGTTGTAACATCCTCAGGAATAGAATTAACGGTAGGAGCTGGAGTTTCACAAAATACCGAAGGTACAGCAAGATTTTTTAAACGTGCGCCACTTGCATTAGGCCTTTCCATAAAATCTGTATCTATGAAATGAGCACTACAGATTAAATGATATTTTGTGGGTTCAAAATCGTCTCTTCCAATGGCATTCATCCACATTTTTAAAATGTCTGGACGATTCAATGGAAATCTGAAATATTTACATTTTTAACTGAAACATAATCTTCAAATATTACAAATCTCGAATTATAAATAAATACATTTTACTTACCTAAATAAATGAAAACCATCTTTTGTGGTATTTTTGCATTTTGGAATGCAACAACTGCTCGGCATCTTTCAAGAATTTTTACGATATTATCAATTTGTATCACCACGCTGGGTATCACATGTGCATACGCACGTAGAGATATACACATAACACACGCATTTTGTCGTCATTTTGTTGTAGAGTGTCATGGCCAAAACCGGAAATCCTGCCGGCCTCAGCTCTTTTGACGAAGTTAGCGATCTAGTACTAGTATAGACATCTGTGTTTGATATCCCATCCCTACAGTGAGTTTTTGTTTTTGTTTTTTACTACCGCTCACGTGAAGACCTATCGCACGCCTTCGCACCTATATGAATACGATTCTTGCTTGTGTGCATGCTTCCCCTACCACGGAGCCCTGGTGCTGGCCGGCTCGAGTTTGCATCACTGGTCGATACATATTAGAATTAGGCCGGCGTCACATAGAACCCGTAAGGGTGCATCCCGACGAAGGAAGAAATAGCGGAACGGAACAGTAG